CCGCAGACCCTCTTCCTGCTGCTGTCCTACTACCGGCTGAGGGCCCAGGCGCTGCAGGGCCATGCAGCCTCCGACCAGCAGCTGCTCAACAACCGCAAGATCCTGCGGTTGGTGCGGCACACGCTGGGGCAGGTGAGCGCTGTGCGGGAGCACGAGCTGGCCCTGCTGGACGAGATGCTGGCCCTCTGCGCCCAGGAGGCCAACAACAAGGCCCTGGAGGCCATCTTCAGCTCGCAGCTCTTCTACGAGAACCGCCAGGAGCGCTTCATACGCAGCATGGCAGGTGAGGGCTGCTGCCTGCTCTCGCCCAGGCCTTCAGATCCGCTGAGCTCTGCATGAGGCTGGCCCAGTGGGGCTGAGGCTGGAAGGTGCCTGGAGTCAGAGTGGGAGTAGCAGCCATGGTGGCTGCTGGGGGTGTGAGCTGTCCAGCTGCTGCTCTGATAGGAGGGGTGTCCTGGCAGCTCGTGGGGAAGTTCTCGGGAGTGTGAGCCATGCTGGAGGGGACCACAGGTCCGTGCTGGGGTTTGAAGGTTGTGCCCTCGGAGCTGCCCTGGTCCAGGCCAAGGGTCCCCAAGCAGGGCACAGGTGAGTCCCAGCACCCTGTTGGGCTGGCTGAGGGAGATGGAGGAGCAGAGACAGGTTATACCTCTCCGTGGCGGGTGTGGCAGCCTCCCTGGCCAGCACAGGGGCATGCAGCCCACCGGCAGACATCCTAGAGCCCACCTCATTCCAGGAGCCGGGCGCAGATCAGTTCTGGGAGAGGGCATGTGGGGAAATCCCTGCTGCAGCCCAAATGGTCTAGGGCACTTGTCAGGCATGTGGTCAGGCATCTGGGAGCCCTGCAGGCTGTGTGAGAGCCCTGGTATTCCCTTGGGCAGCGGCATGCCTGGGGGTGCCGCCCCTGCCCCTTGTGCCGGCTGGCTGACATAGGCATGCTGTGCTTCCCCACAGAGTGGCTGCCCCGGAAGGCGGAGAACCTCACCCCCTACACCATGGCCCTGATCGCCAAGTACGTGGCCCGCCACCGGCTGCGTGAACCGCGCTTGCTTGACACCATTGCTGCCTTCCT